ATAAAATTTGGCTTAATTTTTACTGTATTTTATAAAATTCGTGTTAAAATTAATTCTACTGTATATAGTTAAACTCTGTTAATTCTTCTTTTTAAAATTTGGCTGAATATTAGCTCCGTTTTATAAACTTTAGGCTAAAATTTAAATTCTCTCTATAAAATTTGGCTCAAAATTAATTCTGCTTTATAAAATTCGACTTAATATTAACTTTTCTTGAAAAAATTAGACTTAAAATTAATTTTTAATGTTTACAATTAAGCGAATAATTAACTTCTTTGTGAAATTTGGTGTAAAGTTAATTCTATATTAAATTTGGCTTAATATTAACTTTGCTGTTTAAAATTCGGCTCAAAATTAATTTTATTGTATTGAATTGTACAAAATTAATTATGTTTTATGGAATTCGGCATAAAATTAATTCTGAAGATTTAGTTTGATTTTTACTTTGATTTATAAAATTCGTATTAAAATTCATTCCACTGTATAATTAAATTGTATTAACTTTTCTTTAGAAAATTCGGCTTAATATTTACTGTTCTTTAAAAAATTCGGCTCAAAATTAATTTTTTCTGTTTAAAATTTAGCGAAATATTAACTTCTTTGTAAAATTTGGTCTAAAGTTAGTTCTATACTAAATTTGGCTAAATATTAACTTTGCTGTTTCAAATTTGGCTGATAATTAATTATGCCTACAGTAGAAACCTTATTATACGGACTTCGATTCTCCGGAGAAATTTTCCATTCCAAATTCTACTATGAAAAATTTTATCAAGGTTATTGTTATACACTTAAAAAAAATGTCATAGCTAGAAGATTTTTGGCTGAAAAAAATTTGCTTATTTTATGTTTTTAAGAAAATGTATAAATGTAAATTTTTAGTTATTTGTATAAAACGTGAATTTTATGTTGATTTTAAGCGTCCTAATACATTTTCAACATTTTGAAATAAACGCATGTCTAACTTTATAAGTGGATCATTAAATATTAACTTATTTCCTAAATTCTACTATCCGGATTTTTGCTTATCCGGATGTCTATCTGCATTCATTAGACTGCAAGATGGAATTTTCACTGTACTTTCTAAAATTCGACCCAAAATTAATTCTACTTGATAAAATTCGTTTTAATACTAAATTCTCTTTATAAAAATCGGCTAAAAAAATTTCACTTTATAAAGTTTATCTTAATGTTATATGTACATACATCCGCATGAGAGTTGAATACTTTGTCGATTTTATTTTAGGAAATAGTCGCAATTTCTAAAAGTGGTTCAGATTTGTAATTGTTTTCTTTATTGTTGAAAATCAAACTATAAACTGTCCCACGTTAAATTATGAGTTTACGGTAACATTGTCGTAATTAAAATAAGTAATAATTTAATTTTTAATTTTTAATCAACATGAGAACTAATATAATGGTAGACTTAAAGTTTAAACTCGTTTTCCTCTAAATTTGGTTTTTGGCACTTCTAACTTTGAATCTCCATAACTTCGCAAATTTTTCATACCTAGACCCCTTTGATTTTTTGAGGGGTCTAAAACCAATAAAATTATTCGAAATTTAATCAAAAATATAGTCACGTAAATAAGTCCAATACTGCCAAAGTGACTCTTTTTTCATGCTGACATATAAATATTAATTCTAGTTCATAAAATTCAGCTTAATATTCATTCGATGGGTGTTACAAAAAAAATACTGTTAAGCTTCATGTGTGTAAATAACAATGTGCAAGAATAACACAATTTAGCTTCCAGTCAAATGGGTGTTACGAAATAAACACTGTTAAGCTTCGTGTGCAAGAATAACATAATTTAGTCTTCTAGTCGAAAAAAACACTATTGACTTCTTGGGGTCGAATAAAAATACTTCTGATCCAGCGGGAAGTGTGAAAACATTCCCAACTTCTTTGGGTCGAATAAAAACAGTTCTGACTTTTTCGGGTCGATAAGAAACATTTTTGACTTCTACGGGACAAATAAATAACTCTTGGTTTTTTTGAAGCGAGTAAAAACGTAGCTGGTTTTATTTTATTTTTTTATTATTTTATTATTTTTACACGTTAAAACGTCAAATAAATATTAAAATTTTTCTCCAAAATTCAATTCTTTTCAAAAATTTTAATGAAATTCTTTTTAACAAATTCAATTTTGTTTTTAAATTCTCCTCAGTCAATGATTTTCAATATCTACTATTTTAATAAAATTTTCCAAAAGAAATGAATTATTTTAAATTTTTTTTATAAATTTTTTCGCAATAATTCTATTATTTAAAAAAATATTCAATTTATAAAGATTCAATTATTTTTATAAATATGTAATACAATTTTTTACAGGGATTCAATTATTATTTTCATAAATAATAAAACTCATTGCAGAATTTCAATTATTTTTTATATAATTTTAATCGAATTCCTCGAAAAATGTAATTATTCTTAAATTTTTTTTAAAATTCGTCAAAAGAATTCAATTATTTAAAAAAATTTTAATAAAATTCTTGACAAAATTTCAATTATTTTCAAAAAATTTAATGAAATTCTTTTTAACAAATTAAATTTTTTTTTTAAATTCCCCTCCAGTCAATGATTTTCAATATTTACTATTTTAATAAAATTTTCCAATAGAAATGAATTATTTTAAATTTTTTTTATAAATTTCTTCGCAATAATTCTATTATTTTAAAAAATATTCAATTTATATTTACAGAGATTCAATTATTTTTGTATAAATATGTAATACAATTTTTCACAGAGATTCAATTATTATTTTCATAAATAATAAAACTCATTGCAGAATTTCAATTATTTTTGATAGAATTTTAATCGAATTCCTCGAAAAATGGAATTATTCTTAAAAATGATATTAAAATTCGTCAAAAGAATTCAATTATTTACAAAATTTGTTAATAAAATTCTTTATGAGAATTCAATTTTGAGAAACTTTCAATTATTTATTATTGTATTAAAAACAATTAGGTATTTAAAAAGAAATATTATTAAAAAATTCGTCTCAAGAATTCAATTATTTTTAAAAGTTTAAAAAAAGTTATAGTCAAAATTTCAATTATTTTTATAAATATAAACATTTTTTTCTAAAATTCAATTATTTAAAAAAAATTTAATAAAATTCTTGACAAAATTTCAATTATTTTCAAAAACTTTTCTCAATTCAATCAAATTTTTTACAGAGATTCAATTATTTTTAATATAATTTTAATCTAATTTCTCGAAAAATGAAATTATTCTTAAAAATTTGAAATTTGTCAAAAGAATTTTAATTACCTATTTAAAAATTTGTTGATAAAATTCTTTAAATGAGAGTTCAATGTTAAAAAACATTCAAATCTTCAATAAATTATTTTTTTTTGTATATTTAAATAATTGAATTGTAGAATTTTCTAATAATAATTGATTCAAATTTGAATTTCAGTTAAAATTTTAGATAATAATTGAGTTTTCAAAAGGTTTCAAATTATAATCTTTGAATGTTTGAATTTTTCATACTTTTAACTTGAAATTGTGTAGATTTAATTTTTTTGTAAAAGTTCAATTGAATTTTTTTTTAAAGTTATTTGAAGTTTTTATTTTCTAATACATATTTGATTGAAGAATTTCCGAATACCTGAATAATCGATGAAATTTCGTAAAATTGAATTGTAAACAAAAGAATTTGAAAATTTTCAAAGAAATTTTTCAGAAATTATTAATAATAATTAATTTACACTTTATAAACAAGAATTTTAATTTAAAATTCTGGAAAACAATAATTGAATTAAAATAATGAAAGTAATTTTGAATAAGTTACAGTAACAATATTCTTATAATATAAAATAATGATTTTATCACTCGGACATCTTCATGTTTTATAACAATTTTTTAGAAGTTGTTTAATTTCAAAAAGGTTAGAATTAAAAATTTTGTAAAATATATATGTATAGTTTTAAAAACCTGGAAAAATTACGTTTTTTAACCTATATGGAAAACCTGGAAAAGTCAGGGAATTAGAAATGAGCAAAAGCGTGGCAATCCTGATAATAAAGTTTTTTTTCCGTAACACCCATCGAAGTTTAGTTTATAAAATTTTGCCTTAAGTATTAATTCCAGTTTATAAAATGCAACCTCATAAAATTCAATTTACTGGAAAAGTGGGCGCACTAATAAGTTTTTGGTAATATTTTTCTCCCCAAAATTTTTAAGTCATACTAAATCCATCAAAATCCCAATTTCTTAAGTCTCTCATTCTATTTTTATTTCATAGTATGTATACAAGTAAAAATATCCCCCCAAATTGAAGCGAGAACAATTTGAACCTACCTACATCCAATTTATATTGGATAAAATTCCCCTTCCTTTATATTTTATAGAAAATACTCTCACTTTCTTAATTCTATATAGGATAATTCAGATTTTTCGAGTTATATCGAAGTAAAAATTATTTTATACACACAAAAAAAACATTTAAGATCATTATAAAAGTTTTTCTTCTTCCTTTGTTAGAACTACTTTCTAACTCTTCGTAAAAGTGATTAACCTTTCATCTTATGGAGTGTAGATATGATGAGACGTGAGCAAAGAAATGCACGAGTGAGGAAAAGTGAAGGGGTGAGAAAAAGAGGGTAAAAAGGGAGAAAATGAGAGAAAGAGAGTAAAAGAGAGAAAAAGAGAGAAAAAGAGAGAATGGGGGGGGGCAGGGAGAGAAAAGAAGAAAAAATAATTGAGCTTCGACCTTTGATTTGAAAATTAGTGGAGAGAATAAGGAGAGGAGAATGAGAGTTGGTCGTCAATGAAAGGGGGCAACACGAGGGTAATTTTCAATCCTCAACCCCCTTAACTATCTTTGTATCCTGTTGCTTGTTGAGGCTTTTATATATATATATAGATATTGAGGGCTGAAGCACACCACCGACCACCCTTTCTGTATGGGCAAAGCTTCGTCTCGATCCCTACCACCTCCACCACTACTTTTTGCCCTATATAGTCGACTGACAGGATATAAAGTGGAAGCGTGCTTGCAAGCTCAGTCACATTCCCGTTGAGACACCGACCTGGCAGTATTTATCCGCCACGTGATCTCTCCAGCCAAGCACCACCTCACACACTTCGTACCTCAAAAAAAAAAAAAAAAACCACCTGTCGATTTTCCAAATTCACATAGTCAATTAAAAATTAATAACAGGTACGATTTCAATAATTTACCTTTTTTTAAAAGGCACCAAGAAATTATTTTCAATTTTTATTTTATTGTTAATATTACTATTATTATTATTATTACTTCTACTATATATTATACTTCTTACTATTATTATTACTATACTATTTATTTAATATTTTTAAAAAATTATCAATCTCCCAAGTAAAATCAAGAAATAAAAAAATAAATTTTAACTATATAATTTTTACCAAGTGATAAATTCATAAAAATATATTACTACTATTATTAATATTACTAGTTTGATTATTTATTTTTTTATCTAAACATACACTTTCATTCATTTTAATTTATTTATTTATTTAATTAAGTTTGGACGGACAAACAATGTCCTTAACAAAAACACCTTATAAACTATAAAGAAAGTTATGAAACGAATTATGATTATTATTAAACAAATTGTAATAATGATAATAATAATAATAATGATAAACTATTATTATTATCATTATTATTATCATCATTATTATTAACAAATAATTATTATTATTAAAACTTTACTCTAATTATAGGCAATTTTAATAATTTGCAAATATTCTAATCTATTTTAATTATTTGCAAATATTATAGTTAATATTTATTAATTGAAAATTTTAATTATTAATCTAAAAAAACATCTAATTTACAATTATTTAAAATTTTTAAATGCATAGTGAGTTAAAATTTATTTTTTACATTGATTTCAGTGATTTATAATTATTTATAATTTTAATTAAATAGTGAATTATAATTGTTTATATTTTTAATTGAATAAATAAGAAAAAGTAAATAGTAATTGGTGAATTATCATTATTTACATTTTTAATGAAATAATAATAATTATAATCTATATTAAAAATTGTTGTATTCCGGTAATCTGTTCGCAGTTTAAAGTTAGTTGTTGTTTGCTGTTTTGTTTCTTGACTTTTTTAATATTTTTTCTTTTTAAATATTTTCAATTTTACATATTGAAAATAATCGAATTGTTGCAAAGAAGTATTGAATTTTATTAAAGTTTTTAGAGAATAATTGAATTCTATTGAAAAATATTATTAACAATTTTTTTTAAAATTGAATTCTGTCATGAAATTTTATTAAAATTGTATTAAAAAATAACTGAATGTGTCAAATGATTTTACTATTTACAAATATAAATTGAATTGTTTTGAAGGATTTTTATTAAAATTTTAGAAAATAATTGAATTCGTTCGTGAAATGTTATGAAAATTTTGTTTAAAAATAATTGAATTTTTGCAAAGAGTTTATAACGAATTAAGAAAAAAATTCAATTCTTTCGTGAAATTTTTTTGAAAATAATTGAATTTTTGCAAAGATTTTACTATTTAAAAAAAATAATTGAATTATTTCGAAAGACTTATTAAAATTTTAGAAAATAATTGTATTCGTTCGTGAAATTTTATTAAAATTTTTGCTCAAAAATAATTGAATTTTTGCAAAAAATCTTACTATTTATAAAAATAATTGAATTCTTACTAATAATGTTATAATTTATGAAAATAATTGAATTCTTGCAAAGAATTTTATTAAAATTTTTGTAATTAATTAACAAGAATAATTAATTAATTAATTAATTAGTCAATAATTGAATTTTTTTAAAGTTTGAATCTGAAATTATGCAAAAATTCATCATTTATTTATTTGTTTAATTCATAATTGAAAATAAAAAATTTTGTAATTTGTATAATAATAATAAACCGAATATCACGTTCACCTTAAACAGTCATAATTAAACTATTTCTAATTATTTTGATTTATTTTAATATTTTTTTTACTATTTTTATTAGAATTATTACAAACATACTTTATTATAAGGTTATAAATTCTTTTATTGATTTTGTAAAAAAAATTGCCTGAAATTTTCTTTTAATCAAACAAATTTGTTCACACGTTTAAATTGCCATAATGTTGTTCATAATATTTTATTCAACATGAAAATTATATAGTAAAAAAAATTTTATCGAAGTTTCGAATAAAATTCTAGAAGTAAAGTTATTATTTAAATTTGAAAAAATATATTAAGGAAATTTGAATCATTATGACGTCACGATTTTGTGCAAAGCATGTGTTCTAAAATTGCGACGTCATAATGGTTCAAATACCCTTAAAAAAGTCAAATAGAATTATTTTTTAATCTATAAAATACCTAATTTATTTTTCGTTATAAATTATTCAAATATTAAAAAATACAAAATCATCGATTAATTACAGTAACGTAAAAAAGTAATAATTATAATAATAAATTATTGTTAAATAATGATGAAATGTGAAAAAAGAAAGATAAATAACTATAAATAATGATCAAATAAATTACAAATAAGAAATTAGTAAATTGCAATCAATGATGAAATAAATTATTAATGAAAATTACAAAGTATTTTGTTATTACGAATCACAACTGTAATAATTATACTAATAATAATAGTAATAATACTACTACTAATAATTATAATATTAATAATAATAATTTATTTACTGCGTGTGTGCTTTACATATTCTCTTAAAATTTCATTAACCTACATATTCTATCATAATTTGCACACTAATTCAATCAATAAATTTAACAATAATTGAATAATAATTAATATTAATAAAATAAATTGTTAATAAATAGTTGTGGGCAATAAAATAAGTAGTAAATTAATTTGTATTTAATATATAAAATAAATAGTTTATAAATAGCTATGAAATTAAAATAAGTGGTAAATAAATTATTACAAACAGTTAAGTAAATTGTTGATAAATCTGAGTAAACGATAAATCAATTGTAAATAAATAATTCTTTTAATAAAATAAAATAATAAAACTAAAAGTTAATGAATATCAAAAAATGGTAAAATAAATAGTTAATAAATTGTAATAAATAATTATAGAACAAATAGTTAATTAACAGCAATAAACGGTATGATCAATACAGTGAAACCTTTAGGAATGCAAATCGATTTTTTAAATTTTATCACAGAAAACAATCCTTAAAAAATTGTTTAATAATTTAATTTTGTAATATTTTTACAATATTCTAGAATTAAGTGAAAATAATTCTTGTTGAACATTTTTGAATACAAAAAAAATGTTAAAGTAGATTTGCATTCCGACAGATTCGACTGTTATAAAAGTTTAAAAAAATAAAGCAGTGACAACTGTTAAAAGTAAAAAAGAAATTTTAAATAAATTTGTTGTTACATAATGAAATTTCAGTTACTGATTTGACAAATTGCTGCAAAATTATTTCCAGTTCAAAAAATAATCCGCTTATTATTTTATATAATATTAAATTTTACCTCGCATTTCAATATCAATTAACGTGAAATTACTAAAAATCTAATAAAATCATTGATTCTTTGATTAAAAATATTCAACTATTTTTTTTCTATTAATTTTAAGAATGGATTCAAAAAAAGGATATTAAAAGATTGTCCTATGAATTGCATGTGCTAAGAGATAGCTTAATATATTACAGACTTTTCACTAAAAATAAAAAAGAAAAGAAGCGAAAAATTGACATGTATTATTTTTAAAAAATCGATTAAATCTCAACTCTTGTCGATGGCTTTTCAGATTACTGAAAGCTATTGCAATCACTCTGATCCTCATCGAATAACCATTTTCATGAACAGGAATATAACATATACTGACATTAAAGTCTCTCTCTCTCTCTCTCTTTCTGTTTTTTTTTTCTTTTTTTTTTTTTTTGAACGACAAACGAGTGCTTTTTAGGAAATTTTTAACTCCATTATTGACCTAACGGATAGAATTTTAATGGATACATGTATAATTTTTTCTAATCTCTTCAAGAGATTTCTTTTTGAAATATTGAAAAGTTTTTTCTATGGAATTTACAGATATTTTTTCCTTTTTTAAGTGCTAATTAATTTTTTTGTTTTAATAATAATTATTAACACAAAAGTAGTAAAAGAAATGGTAATAAAATTTCTTCTTCTCTTTTTTAGGTGCTAATTCATTTTTTGTTTAATTATTTACACCACAACAATAAAAAAATGATACAAATATTAATTTTATAACTTCAATGAAAAAAAAAAATTATTCAAAACTTAGATAAATAAATAAAACTTATATTCGAAAATTTCCGGAAAAAAATTTGATTATAAGAGAATAAAATATATTTCTAAATTTATCATTATAGAAATTTAATATTTTTAAAGACAAAATATTATAATACAATAAATGAAATATTTTTGCTATTTTCCTTTATTTTATTTCGCTAAACATTTTTTTTCACCTCTATTATTATGTGTTGCAAATTGAAAACAATAAAAATTCTTTATTATTTTCATGTTCAGGAGAAATTGTATAAACTTATGAGGTGAAATGTGCATTTTGTTGAAACTTTATATTATGTTGAAAATGCTTATTTGTCTTGATAAGAGAGAGGGAGAGAGAAATTTCAAAATTCCTATTTTATGAAAGAAAACTATTTTCTAAATTTAAAATGACTTTTGGTATTATATTTTTCGTTGGTTTTAAAATGCGTCTGAGAATTTTTTTTAATACTTTATCAACAAAACACGATACTGAAAATGAAATTTTTTTCGGTTTTCATAGTGTTGATCACTTAACTATTTAGCAAATATATATTTTACTAGAATTAAATAAATATTTTTTATTTCAACGAAATTAATATTTACTTGAAGAAAATCAAATATTTCTTGAATCAAATTAATTTTAACCAAAAAATGCATTGAGTTGAACCGGAAGGGTATTTTTTTGCACAGATAAAATATTTACTTGGTCCAAATAAATATTTACTTGGTGCGAATAAATATTTACTTGAACCGATAAAATATTTACTTCAACTAAATTAATTTGAATTAAAAAAATATATTAAGTTAAACGAATATTAAATATTATTTTCTTGAACGAATAACTATATACTTGATTTAAATAAATATTTACTTGAGACGATTAAATATTTATTTCAACTTAATATAAACCAAAAAAATACTGACTCG